CTAGACTAGTTGCATACCTATAGTTACTGGTAGATGACGCATTAATCTCTAGACTAGTTGCGTACCTATAGTTACTGGTAGATGACGCATTAATCTCTAGACTAGTTGCGTACCTATAGTTACTGGTAGATGACACATTAATCTCTAGACTAGTTGCATACCTATGGTTAATCCAGACGAGGTTGTTAACTTTGCTTCAGCATGCGATTGGATTTCTTGATTATCAGCATCCTGACACGTTAATTTTATTACGTAAACAGATTTCTCTGTCAATGTGTTTGGTTTAAGGATAAATACGGGATTCCTTCGACGTCCGATCCCTTTAACCACGCCTTTATTACTATTTTTCAACCATACATCAGTGGTGTCTATGAGAATACCTAAAAGATATGATGACCTATAGTTAGTTTCACGATGAATCTCTTTGTTTTTCAATATTGGATTAGTCTTGTTTCTTGTCCTTTTGCATGGTATGCATGCTCGATATATCATGCGTTTATATATCCCACATGGGTCCTTGTATCATCTGCCTTCTCGTATTATATATCAGCAAAGTTTTCTAACACACACACAAAAAAAAACAAGAAAAATACATCATTGCATTATACGCTTTATGGGTGCTGTTAGGAAATACGTCATTAACTGAAAGAAACATATTCATTTGAATCTTATAGACTTTAATAAGATTAATCGTTTTTAAAAATCAATATATTGGCTTGAAACTATAAAAGTGTGATCATGCTTGATTACAAGGGGTAAAACAGTGACTTTACCTTCCTCATTGTACAGTTCGATCCAGTAGTTGGCTGCGGTGCTTTTACTAACAACGGTGCCCTTGAAYTTTATTTGTTTGGTACTATCAAATGGTTTTTTTSGTACTCGAAGTTTGCATGTAGGCGGTGATCCTTGTTTAACAGTGATGTTGACTGTCGATTCACAATACTTTTTATTTTCTTTAGAAACCTTTAACACGAACATCAACCTAAACGAATAGTTAAGAATTGATCTTTTGTCTTTAAGGATGGTCAGTCGTGATGAAAAGAAATGGCTGTAAATAAGCATGGTCTTCTTAACACTAAGATAAAAATGAATTTGAATGGCATGTGATTTTTGTTCTGACTATCTGATAAGACAAAAAAATTGTTGAATTGAATCACAGGAGTTCTAGCACCAACTGAGCAGCCCTAATTAGYAGGAATATTACATCTCAAGCTATTCTAGGACTAAATATAACAATCACTACACCTATTTACCAACTGAACGATGAAAACAATGGTTTCAACCAAGGGCAGATCCAGACTAGGGGTCATAAAGAAAATTGGTAATCATAGGTCGTACTTTTCTCCCAAAATCCCCCCTGCCAGGGCGTTGGTTTACATGCAAGCTATTAATAGCATTTTTTTCTTCCTTTTGCATTAATTCATACTGCAATGATAAAGTTATACATACGGATTGTTCGTATTTGCTTCTATTTTGAACATGTCCACTGACATTCTTTGCTTTTTTAGGAATCTCGCTACGCTGTTGTTTTTCAGGGTGCATGGAGATCCTGATAYGTTATGCTTATAACATGACCACGAGTATGACAAAGATGCCTTGTCATCATCTGGATCTTCTGCWTCAGCTCTTAACAATACTTTATCGTTTTGTCCGACCTCTCGGTTGCCATCTAACATTAGATGAAATCAGCAAAAAATTTAGTTCGGAATCATGGTGATGTGTTGAAATATAAAAACAAGAACATAGTGGCGCCTTTATTAACGTTCTTGAAATAACCAAACGACGGTCATTATTGATTTGATCCATACTCGAGTGACTGCGTGTAGGGTTCTAACAGTTAACGTCATGTGTTTTAAAATGAGAAGTTTACCTATCATCAATATGAATATACCTTTGATGTCACATGTCAGAGGTTGACTTTCTTTAATAAATGAAATGGACTTCGTCTTCATTTTCTTTCTCGTAGTTATCACTGTCACATTACAATCATGCTACAATAGACAAGAACGCTAACAAAAGCTGTAAAGCTGATGTGTAGGGGGAGGGGAGGGGAGGCTCTTGAAGAAACATAGTGTAATTTCTGTTGGGGTTGTGGCATTGTTTACTTGAATTCCTTTCTTTTTTCGATTCTTTTGAATAGGGAGTTAGGTACAAAATAGATTGGATCTTACAACAGCTTCTAAAGAACCCCTTAGAGGAGTGTTATTAAGCTCTAYTGGTCATTGACGCTTGCTCTCATGCCGGAAAGGAAGCTCTTCAGCCACTYAAACCCATATGAAAGAGGCTCGAACTAGTTTTCTAAGAGGTTTTTGATTTACTTACCTTTCCTGGAGGGAGATTCTTCAAAACTATAATTCGTCCTTTACTTTTAGGTTTGCACGACCAGATAAATGAGACTCGCTCCTTAACTTTTAAGTTATCAACTATAGTAAACAAAATATTATTATTTACTCAAAGCTGGAAATTTGAATAAAGCATTGACTCTTTGCTGTCCTTTAAGAAAGAACTCAAAACTTATTTGTTTAGTTTAGCTTTTAGAGTTTAATTTGTTTGTTAGTTATATCAGAGCGCATAGAACAGACTTGTATATGTGCTATACAAGTTTTCATTATTATTATTATTATATTATTATCTTGGGTCTTACCATATAAAACAATCCTGTTTCCTTTTTTACGATATTCAATGATAAATTCAGATATCKCACTCTGTTCGATTTTTCTTGTCAGACTCAAAGACGCAGTTGTSGTTCGAGTGCAGTCTGAGACTGTCGCGTTTAAAATGTACGTACTGCCAGGTAGTATGTGGAACTTGGAAATTACAACCAAACTCATAGCCTTGGATAACTTTAATTTAAGCTTTAAAATGTCCTGCTTTATCTCGTTAGTTTCCTTTACACCACGTGGTAATGTTACCGTCCATTTGATCTTAAGTTTACGCACCCCAGAAACTTTCATCTTGATTCTAAATGGTGCGCCAGGATCTAAAATCGAGGACATTTTTACATTAGAATACTATCATTTTACAACAGAATACTATCATTCTTTTCATCGGAAATCATTATCGTCAGTTAAATCACTGTCATCATCATCATCATCATCATCATCATCATCATCATCGTCATTGTCATCATCATCATCGTCATTATCATTGCCACTGGAAAAAATCGCGCGTTTTAAAGGTTGTAAATTTGATATAAATATGATGTAAGTGTCCAAAATTCTGTAAATTTAAAGGAAATGATTTATATCAAATTTACAGAATTTTGGACACTTACATCATATTTACATCAAATTTACAACCTTTAAAGCGCGCGATTTTTTCCAGTGTTGTCGAGTGTGAACTTCATAGCAAAATAACATAAAAAGGTTTATTCAACTCATGTCATCAACGCTTTTCATCCACATCATCACACTGTGCTACAAATCTTTCTGTTATTACATCAATTGTATCCTTCATGGTTACTTGCGCCATCTTGAAAGGTAGCCGTATCTTTACATCGAAGCGAGACAACCGTTGAGACTGAAATGATAGATACCTGTGAACAATTGTCCGTAGGTTTGAAAGAAGGTTTCTATCATTGCACGCTCAACGGTTTTCTCGCTTCGATGCAAAGGCTACCTTTCAAGATGGCGCAGGGAACCGTGAAGAAGACAATTGAAAGCGTACATTGAGTCCTAGTGGACTGTAACTTAATCTTGATAGGCTTCATTTGGTTTTGTTTGAGTGCCGGRCATTGCAAAGTGATCTTCTCCGACACATTTCTATCATAGATCACGTCCTCAGTATTGGCATTTTGAAGGCTTYTATACATTATTTCAACAGGAAACTCCTTTTCCATGTCACAAGGTTTCTTAGGTGTGACGACTAACGCTCGYCCGTTGTTGTACCATCCACACTTGGATATGGCGTCATTCGTTTTCTGGGAGAAAATCTTCGATGCGTCTTTTTTTTTCAGTGGTCGGTCAAAGGTTATGGAAAATCCATTTAAATTGGYTATTATTTCACATTTTTTAGGACGAGGAGCAGGTGCTTTGAATTTAAAGCCAATACAGACTTTCTGTTTATCGCCGACAATGCATAACTGTTTGGCTTGTGCGTAGCTCATAGTCATCCTGGCTGATATTGGGCAGATGAGTCTTGAACCGCTGACAAACTTTGCCTTGCCGATTTGACGTGGTTTATTTGATATCATAAGTGAGCAAAACAGTTTTTTTTCGGCTTTGAAACCCGATCCTTCAACCTTTACATCATGTTGTTTATTCACCACGGCTTGTGCAGGGTCTACTCCAGTTACTTTGATTTTGTCATCAATGGCTTTTGTACTAGAACAGATCGATCAATGAATCAATCAACCAATCAATCTATCAATCAATCAATCTATCTATCAATCAATCTATCTATCAATCAATCAATCAGCAATCATCCAATCAATCAATCAATCAATCAATCAATCAATCAGTCAAGTCAGTCAAGTCAGTCAAGTCAGTCAATCAATCAATCAATCAATCAATCATTCAATCAATCAATCTATATGGGTCAATGTATCGATCAATCAATCAAACAATCAACGAATCGAATTATATATCAGTTCAAACAGCCTTTCATCATTTATTCACTTAAATAAAGTGATAAGTCAATTACTGGAAAAAAGTTGAAACGATTCACGACGTTTCGATCGATTACACCGATCTTCCTCAGGTAGAATGAACAGTTGAACCACCAACCAGGATTTTATTGTGAGGCAAACGGCGAGGAACGCCTTTCAGAACAACATCCCATGAGTGTGGTAGGTTGAAACGTAGGCCGCCCCTTCTGTTTAAGGTGGGATTTTCAATTCGTAGACAAGACACCTAAAGACAAACTTTCAAACCTGGTATTACATGTGGAGATGAGAATTGCACAGAAACATACCTGGGTGAGACGAAGCAAGCGCTAAAAGCCAGAATGCGTCAACACAAGAAACCCAACGTCTTAGAAGCACAGAATTCAGCTGTGTTCAGTCATCTTTTGAAAGTGATCACATTTTTGATATTGACAATGTCGTCACCATTCTGGACAGAGAAGCTGATTGGCGGAGGAGAGGGATTAAAGAAGCCATCTATGAACGAATTGAAAATCCCAGGGGCGGCCTACGTTTCAACCTACCACACTCATGGGATGTTGTTCTGAAAGGCGTTCCTCGCCGTTTGCTTCACAATAAAACCCTGGTTGGTGGTTCAACTGGTCATTCTACCTGAGGAAGATCGTTGTAATCGATCGAAACGTCGTGAATCGTTTCAACGTTTTTCCAGTAATTGACTTATCACTTTATTTAATCATTAACGACTGGATGACTAATCTACACTTAAATATTCATTCACTTAATTAACCAACACATGAACCGATCATTGATTTATAGATGTGATCTAATTCTTACCTTTTATATCCAACAGAAGTGGGAGTAGAGCGAGGGGACTTTTTGCTAGGAGGTGAGGAAGGGGTTGACTTTTTCTTAGGAGGTGAGGAAGGGGGTGGCTTTGACGAGGGGGTAGAAGAAGAGGTAGGCTTTGTTGCTGCTTTTCTTCCGTCTTGTTTCTTATCACCAATTGATTCCTATAAAACAATTCTAATATTTCACCTTATCCCGCCATCCATATATATAAGCGACGACATTGCAAATATTAGTTCACATTTAAACATTTAGGTTTAGTCACTATTCTGATGTTTTTTGTGTGTGTATGTGTGGTGCTAAGTAAAAATAGGAATTATAGTAAAAATTGTATTCCTTCTCTCTAGAATAGTGCCGATATTCAGAACAATGAGAATAGTTTCAAACCAGCTTGAAAAGGGGCCCAAATAAGTTGCAATCAGAGCAGCTGTCGCTTATTGTGTTCGTGGTTGTCAAGGTTAACGTGTTCTCGCAGAGAGTGACGTCACTTGAAGAAACC